AGGGGTAATGTGTTCATCATTTTTGCTTTCCATGGCTTCAGGTGTCTCTGTGCTTCTTCAGGATGTACACTGATTCAGAAAAATCAAATGAATTCTGATTATACAAGGTCAGCAAGGAAGAGATCCCAAAGAAATCTGAGAATTTGCCGCACCCCTGTTCAAGCGAACATTTTTAAGATTCCATGCTGACCTTGTATAATCAGAATTCATTTGATTTTTCTGAATCAGTGTACATCCTGAAGAAGCACAGAGACACCTGAAGCCATGGAAAGCAAAAATGATGAACACATTACCCCTCTGAACCAAGGGTAATGCTGACGAGTTTTGGGGCCACACACAATTTCCGCTCCGTGAAATGGGTAATTTGAGAAAAAACTGTGGTTACTGCCTACCAGATTGAAGGGTACACTAAGCGCTGCAAAACCTCCGCAAGAGACTAAAGACTAATCGGTCGTGTTCGGCTTGGAGGGAGCTTTTTGCGTATTCGCTAGTTCTTTTTTTCATTTAAAACAGGTGAACTCCTCTAGAACGGCGAAATGGTGCGATTAAGCCACTTCGGTGACAGAGCTTTACATATCTTCACAAGCTGGTCTGTACAGTCCTAGCTGACCCCACCAAGCCGAACTACGCCAACTTATCCACAACCAGAAAAAAATGTTTTTTGGGAAATTTGCAGCTAGAAATTTTCACTCCTACAAATGCAGAATAAAAAGTGAAGGACAGGATATGGTGTGCTTTGTAAGGCAGGGTATGAATCCGAGCATACAACCCTGTTTTGCCCTTTTTGTTTTCTACGTTTGGTGCGCGACATCCATTCTGAACAATAGCGAATACGTGTTCCACTTTAATGCGTCTTCTTGGGTGGTCTTCACCGCTTCTCTTATCGTATCGCACATCGTCGGCAGTTCTTCCTTCGTTCCACGTACTCCCATATATCATTTCTTCCCTGGCCTCTCAAATGAGCGTTTTCCTGGGCTACACTTTTAGGATTCGATCCTTTTCCCATTTCTTGCAGCATACGTTCGCTGGAGAGTACCCACGTATTCGTAATCATGGTGGGTCTTCATCATTGTCGCGAATTTCCTATAAACTTCCTGTTAGCCCCATCTCATACCGTACCTGTGCCTGTGTGTGCTGCCCTCCCGAGCACGGGTGTGACCGCATCATTCTACTTCTACTGCATCGATTATAAAAAAGCTTATTCTCCTGCACTTGTACAAAATCGAGCCTCAATCCTTTATGAAAAAGGAACGAAAGGATTCAAGCCATATCTAGAGATTCAGACCGATCGACAAGTTATCCCAACCGAGGATTTCACGTTGCTATAGAAGAGAATCATATTTCAAGAACTGACTCAGCCCGTCTCTTTATAAATGCCTTGCAAGGAACGGAGCGCTCATGAGCAACGTTCTACCCAACAGATAAAAAGCTAGAGGCTTTCGGGTGAGTCAATCCCCTTTTTGTGGGACTGTCTTCTCCCGTTCATATCGTGCCGGTGTTTGAATGCGATTTGACCGAATGCAGAAGCGACTTGCGAGCGCTAGCTGATGTGCAAGTCATGTTTTTCCCTCCAAGCGAATCTGATACTAACTCAATTACTGTGGAAGGATAAAGACTCCGGGTCCGGTCCATGTAGGAATAAATCAGGACCAGACACTTGGACAGTGCGCGCGGTAAGTGGGCCATGGCCAATACACTAGCTACGCCACATAATTTGTTAAAGACTCTTAATTACAAATAAGCAAACAGCCCTTAAATTACTCGCTAAGATCGTATGAGGGAAGCGGAAACGAACTGGTCATTCTATCAGAGTAAGTGGAGTCGGAGAAGGACAGAACACATGGGACCACGGAGAGAAGGCCAGACGAGAAATTATTTCTGGCCAAAATCAAGAATGAGCTGGGCTTTGCGGTGAGATGTGGTTAGATGGAAACCTCTCGTTCTTCATCAAACGCCGTGTCCTCCTCGCAAGCGTAATATCATTTCTCATTTCCGAATCCCATAGAAAAGAGGTTTTTGCTACCGCGTCAGTCGCATTCCATCCTAACAATCTCTTTCTACTTCACCACTCGAGTAGGAAGGTGGTTCTGACGGCTTCAGTGAAGAAGAACAATGAGTTCACAAACTACACGACTTTCTTGAACCGTGCAAGGGTTCTGGGGCCTTTACTTACACTCTTAAAAGGGGCGGTTTTTTTCGTAGTGTCAAATTCGCCAGCAGTCAGAAGACTGGCGCCGACAGCTGCATGCATGAGTCGTCATGGGGTATTTCGGCGGCGACCATTACCAACAGATGATGAGATACGTCCACCGAAACTAAAGGTATCGGCACGGACGGACTGGAATGTGTGTGGCGTGAAAATTACCATAATCAATGAGCAGTGCAATCGACCAAAAAAGTATCGGGGACCATGGGGAACAATGAAATGTGGGTCCCGAGACGACGTCATGGCCACACAAACACTGCGAGACGTCACTAATTGCCAGCGATATTGTTAGGCCGAAAAGACCAAGCATCGGGAGCATTTCCTGCGGCATGGAAGTCAGCTGATTTAGATTCCGCAGAGGATCTGTGCTTACCCCCTGCGACTATCGTAATCAAAAAAATTGGGGACTTGCCCTCTTCCACTTAGCCTACTCTGCCATCTGGGAATTGCTCAGAGACAACTAACGCACTTTTCATTCTAATGAAATTACTCCGCAAATTCGATTGAAGAAAAATTTGGCTTGTTTTCTGGAACGAATGGGGATTTTGATACCGTAATCAGCAGCGCTACGTTAATGTTATGAAGAGAAAGAATGAGTCGCTGGTTCTATTCAAGCTCGTTTTGGGGGTTCTTCTGCAAATGGATCTAAGCTGAGCACAACCCGATCTGCTTACTACAGTACTCGTTAAAGCAGAGTAGAAGTGGCCTAGAAGTCAGCAGTCCTTCGCCCAGGTTTCAGCTGATCCTTTGATTCCGACAATGAGTGGGAGACAAGTGAGCACTGTGCAAAAGATACCCGACATCTCAAATGTGGCTAACTGGGGCAAAATACCGCTTCTCCTTATATTCAGATATTCTTCAGTAATCAGCTCGTTTCATTTGACCTTAAAATCGCTAAAAAAATTACAAGCCATCACCTTAATGAACTTCGCTATTACGAGAACGGCGATAAGTTACTGCCT